TTCTACTGAGCAATATAAATTGAGTCAGTTCTAGCACAAGTAGCTTGCCCCAAAGATGCTGAAACAGCCACCAATCAATGCAGCTTACAGTTTGTGATAGAAAAAAACAGTTAGTTCAGTCCCATTCACAAAGAATGGCTCAAACAGATTTTTATTTAGTTTTTTAGGTGACTCATGCCAACCTTCAGGTCTCTACTTTGGATCCAAATGCATGTGCTATATGGGTGTCATTTAGATGTCAGCTCCTCTAGCAAGATTATTGCTCAAACAGATTCCAGCTCAGGATTCTGACACTCAGTGCAGGCCCCTGCATGTAGCAGTACCAGCATTTCTCTCTCCTCACAGGACAAAACTGAGCCAAATACCTCAAAGTGATTTAAAATAAAGTGCATTTAAATCCTCATGACAAAACCCTGCTTTGCATCCTTGCGAATCTGAATCCGTTGCAGTGTTGTGGCCCAAGTCACTTCCATTTCAGTCAGACAGCAGGGGAATATTTGGCCAAGCTGTGCATGGTGTTAGATTCAAACACCCTAGAAGACAAACCAAGTTGCTGGGCAGGAAGAGCACAGAGTTTCATTCACGTTTTCCCTTCTAGTATCCTTCTAGTTTTCAATATTCTGTCTGTAACAGCCTTTCAACACACTAATCCTCCATTCAAAACAGAGCTACATACACTTTAAATATAAAATCCTATAGGTAACCCTTTCTACCTGTGATGTTTGATCCCCTGCTCTGTTTTAGTGTGACAGGACTCAAAAAATTCACTTACTGTAAGTGAATTTAACAAGAATGATTGCAAAGTCATTACCTCAAGTAAGGAAAAAACCATCTAGCAGCTTACGCACCAGATGCCTCAACGTTCTCCTTCTCTGAAATCACACTAGCAAAAGCTTTTCCCCTTAAAACGAACCTTGGTAAACATGTTAGCCAATAATGAGACCCACTCAATATCTGAATTAAACACGGAGTGGTCTGAGTGAAAGCAGCACTGATGTCAAAGCAGCAGCAGCACCTCTCAGCAAGCGGCTTTGAGGAGACCCGCACAGAAAGCTTCCAGAAGGACAGCGTTCCAGCACTAAGTGCTGACTTGATGAAACCCAAAATATTCCACAGGAATGTGCTAATTCAGTCAAAACCTTTGAAAGAGGACAGGCCGGCTCGCCGAGCCAGCCAACCAGTCTAGTGAGCTGACTGGCTCTCCCCAGGGTCACTGGCTTCCCCATTTGGGCAGGAGCCAGGCTGCTAGTCCCTGCTCTCCCAGAGGCCCTTTAATAACAGTGACAATAATAATGATAAAGTGTTACAAAGTGTTCTGAGAAACAAAGGAATTGTTAGCATGAAAACCAGAATTACTTCAGAACCAACTGCAAGGTTAGCTCAAGAGGAACTGGTCACATTTGGTGCGGAGCATCCGAAACTGGTGCCTTTAAAGTCACAAATCTCTCCTGTATCCTCTAAAGTTTGACAAAAAGGCATCAATACTGTATAACAGCAAAAAATTCACAATAATTATATTCACCAGATAGGTCATCAGCTAGGAGTTAAAGGCACATTGCTTCCAAAGCACAAGTAAATGCCCCTGGCTTACCAAAACGCAGGGTTATCTTGTAAGCAACATCTTTCACAGTGTAGTCCCTCAGTGGGCTCCATGCATAACTCACCATGGCAAACTGCAGTGAGCTGGTACAAGGTGCCTCATTTAACACTCTGGAGAAGCTCACAGGAGCACGTATGGCCATATATACATATATGCTAATATTTTAGCAGTGACAAAAAAAAAAGAGTAAATAATCTGTCAACCAGCAAGTAACTGACTTTCTCCATACAACTGGCTTTTGGCAGCTTGTGCATAACCAGTGCATGGGATCTATTCTGGCTTCTCACAGCAACTCAGCAAGCAGCAGTATGAAGAGAGTTTTTAATTGCTAAGAAAAGCGAGGCTTTTTAAGACAGTAATACCAAACCCCACAATGGCTTCGCACAATTCTATTCACTTAACCAGCTTTTGTGTATCAAAATGCCTAGATATTGGTTCATGCGTGAACACAAGTAGTTTTAGAGATGCGGAACAAAGTTCCACAGTAAAAAAGAAAGAGGTCTTTTTACATGCCAAATTGAGTCAGCAATGAGATCTCTGTTGCAGGCGCGTCATATGACTGTGGAAGAATAAGGCTAATAAAATGTACTGATTTATTTATATGAAAATCAGCACAACTTCCAGCACAAAACTGGACAAAATTGTGACCAGTTCCTTTCAGAAAAGACATGTAAATCAGACAGCTGCCAGAGTTTGCAGTTCACTGACCCTTCCTACTGCCAAATGCAAAGCACAAAGGTAGCTCAGAAAGCAATTAAGACATTGGCTGAGAAGACTCATTAATTCTTTGCAAACTTAAAATCACAACTGAACAGTCTTACGAGATTTCTCTGGGGAAGGCTGCACGCCTGGGACTCACTTCTGAAAACAAAGGTTTGTCTTCTCAAGATGACAAAACACACACTTTGCTCCCTGCTCTTTCTCAGAACAACTAATACATGGACAGTATCATGAGGAAACACATCTAGAACCAAACTAGACATAAGCACAGTTCAATCCAGCTGCTAATTTAACATCTGCTGAGATAGCCTAAGGCTCCCTTCAACTACTGAGATAGTCGAAGGCTAAGGTTTTCTTCAACTACTTGCAAGCAAAACTGAGATGCCCTTCTTATGGCTTATGACAAAAAAGTAGATCTCCTCATCATGTCAAAACTATACAAGGGAAAAAAACCCTGCATATAGCCATTCATATGCAGTTCTGGGCCTGAAGTCACAGCAGCATTAAGTTACCAATCTGATGGTTAATTCTTTCATTAGCCTCATGAAAGGATCACATACCACAGTCACTCCCGAGCACTGCACAACTCTGAAGCTACAGCCTCCATTTCTTTGCGTTGCAGTAAGTTAAATAACCAGATACAGGCTATCATTTTAGCTTTAGTCCTTGACTCCAGGCGCTAACCAACTGGAGTTGGAAGGATCAATGCACAGTGCTATTAAGTGTTTATGAGACCATACTTCACAGTAAGTTTCCTTCTCAAACCAACCTATGTAATTCAGTCACTTTTGAGCTCATATAACTATCTCCTCGAATGAGTTTCTGAGGCGTTCTATCCAGCAGATGCAATCCTAAATTGAGAAATGACATGTTGCTGGTAATAACTTGGATGGCGCTTTCTAAAACTGCTTTTGTCACGTTGCAGATGATCCAGAGAGTGGCTTCAGGTGCTACTCACATGTTTTACTTCTGCTCCTTTATACACAAGCTTGCTGATTTAACAGACTGCTCAAAGGTAACAAGATGGCCCAAAGCAAGGCACCAGCTGAGATAAACAGTACAGGAAGAAACCCAACCAACCAACCGAAACCAGAGTGTGAACACAGCACCTTTGTGACACCAATGAACATCACCAGCAACACTGAGAGGTTACACTATGCAACTGCTGGGTCTTCAGGAAAAAAAGGTTACTCAGCTGAGTGTGCTCATATATACATGTAGGAAGCAGCAGGGGCAAAGGATTTGTGTCAGTCATCTCCATTTGTGCACGTCCCATCAGCTGGGTTACTGCCAGAGCTTGCTCCTTGCCAGCTTGCCTCCTCCTGCTCCACCCTAACTGAACCCAAGTGCATTATCCGTCCCTGACCGAGGTGACAGCCTGCTTCTCCGTAATGTTCAACATCCCTCAGTACACAGATGTCTATCAACTCATTCTGGAAAATGCTCAGTCCTAAATGAAAAAAGGCAAAACAGAGAGAAACAAAGCCCCCTCTGTTAAATGAAGCCCAACCTTCTCAGACAGATGTATGCTAACACCAGGAAGACAAAAAAGCAGCAACAAAAACCCCAAACAAAACAAACCCAAGCTTTTCCTGAGTGCTGTGCTTTGAGATGGATTTCACAACGCTATGGTCTCAAATTATTTCTGCAATTAAGGGCCAGCGTTATTGCTATCCAGACAAAGAACAAGGTGGGATTTGTTCCAACAGAAAAAATCTAGTGTAGGATACCCTAAAAGCAAGGAGCCAGGAGGGTCAAAGAGCTCATAACCCTGCAGGTTATTTATGCAATAACTTATGTTGGAAGGGACCTCTAGAGGTCCTCTGGTTCAGCCCCTTGCCCAAAGCAGAACCAAGTTAAACCAAGTTGCTCATGGCCTTGTTCAATCAATTTCTGATCATTTCCAAGGATGGAGGTTGCACAACCTCTTCAGGTGCCTGCTACTGTGTTGGACCACCCTCATTATCCAGCGTTCGCATTCAGCTCTCACATATTCCACATCTGATGACTTGTAAGCAATAACCTCATTCAGAAGTCACTGTAACATTTCCTGGGCAGCTCTGCAAAATTAGGCACTAAGATTTCAGTCAAATTTTCTAATTCCTAGTTTTCTGAAACCTTTTGTGTGCTTGCCACAGAACTGTCAGCTTAAGCAACAGCGATAGAAAGGTTTGATACCAACAGTAGCAAAAAATCCTATTTGCCTTGCATGAAAGACTGCCTGTAAGGAGAGCTTCGTAGTAGGGAAAAACCAGAGCTACAACAGATGATTCATTTGACATGGGCAAGCTTCAATGAAATCACAAACCCATACATATCTGCCAATCCTCAGGAAGTATCACATATGCAATCAGCTAAAGGAGAAAGTTCTTCAGCTCCTTCAAGAAAGGGTCTTTTCCTTGAATAACATGCAAATGCACAGCACAACAAGTCCTTAATACGCCACCAGAAGGAGACTTGATTCACCTACTTCACTACTTGATGTCATTAGATGAGAGGATGTTCAAGCCACACCTATCTCAAGCAGACCCTACATGCACACTGACCAACATCCAATCTTGTGGTCAAAGAACAGAATAAAAGCAAAAAGCCATGAAACAATTTACCCATCTTATTAAATAACAAATTATTACCACTATCATGTTTCAAATTAGCAATTATCAGCTTACTTCTTTCTTACCATTGTAGGTTATCCTCGGTTTTGTCAGACACATCACAAGATGTAAATCCATTTCGTCAGAAGATACAAATTTTGAACATACAGGGCACTTGAATCCTATGGAAGATAAAGATATGTAAGTTTGAGTACACTCCATCATGTTGCAAATATGTATATTCCAGCCAAAAACCTGTTCTGCATACATCAATAGAATGAATATATATATATATCTGGCATCTTTTCAGTTTTCACCTGACATTTCTTACATTAACATAATACCCTTGATTTCAAAAGATCTCAAGTGTTTCTGCAAATTAATCTGCTGCCAATTGCAAACATGTCAGCACCTCTTGAATGCCAACTTCCCCAATGACTCTAAGAACAGTTAAGACAGGAGCAAGAGGATAATATGACTCTACTGAAAGAGAAACTAAAAATGTCTGGGGAACACAGCCATTCAAATCTGAACTTGGGCAGGAACCCTGAGTTACCATCTTAAATGGAATAGCACTGAAACTTTAACAAAGGATCTCAGTTTTACATCTCGTCATGCAAGCTCCAGCACCTTTTACCAGTCTGGGGCACAGTGAAAACATTAACTCAGGGGTGTTGCCTCACCTACTGAATCACTGATATTTCCTGTAGAGCTGAATTTACTTGACACATCTCATCCTAGCCAAGCACGACCTTGTTGAGCTCTCGAGGTAACAGCCTGAGCCAATATGGGGTAAAGAATAATTAAGACAGTCTGGACTGTGATGCAACTGCACACTGGTTCGTGACAAAACCATTTAATACTTTATGTCATTACTGAAGACAGCAGTGTTCCAGTTAAAGGACAAGGCAGTTGGGCAAGTTTTACAGTCCACAGAAAAGCCTGACTGTGATAGCCTGAATAATTAACACACAACTGAGAGACAAAAGGCCACAACAGGGATCTTGTGTAACAGTTGTTTAAGAATATATCTACAGGACGAGGTATGGCAAAAATATCTAAATCCATGCTCAGTGCAAAGGACCAACTTCTCTGATGCTGTTGAAAAGTAGTAAGGCAGGCACGTATAAAAGACCACTGCACCTTCCACCAACATCCACATCTGGGCCTGCTCCCCCATGCTTTAGTTTGTTGCCCCTTACTTTTGTACTTCCAACCTTGCGGGTCCACAATGAGGGGAATCAGTCAAGGATGACAAGCGACTTGGTGCTGCACTCTCAAGTTCCTGTTGCCTGACAATTCTGATCTTTACTGTTAATGATTAGCCAGATGTAAATCAAGCAACTAACCTGAAGCACTAGCGCTTGATAGAAGTAATACACTTCATTTGTTAAGACAATGATCTTTATTTCTTCAGTGCTGCTAAATAGGAAGCAAGTCAAAGCAGACAACTGGTAACACCCATGAGGAACTCTTGAGCAGCAGCTGAACGCAAACCACTTCCTGAGGTAAAGTACAGTTCTGATTCTTCCCATTTTAGCAATAAGCAGTTCATATCTAGCTCTTCTGCTGTCAGTCTTCCACTTCAGTTTAAATACTGCTCTTCTCTCCTTGTTTTTAATCCTCCTCCCAACCCACATCTTTACAGATACAACCATAGGTTAATAAGGATACACCAGCCAAACACATCTTTTGGACAAAGCAAGTTGAAAGGATTAATTTACTTGCAGAAAGCTTTGTCAGTGACCCTTCAGCCACTGTGTGGCTCCTTCCCCCAGGCTGCATCTCAACATGACTAAGACCAAAACTAGTATCTCAGCCCTCCAAACACCCAAACCCACCCGTAACTGTTTTGTTAGGGCTTTCCTCAAAAACTAACTTGGGGGAAGTTTCCTCTCAACCTTTATCAGCCTAATGCAGCTGACTACTCTTAAGTCTAGTCAAACCCTAAGACCCGTGCATTATTCTCATTTATATGCTTCTGTAAGGCATAATTAACAACATATTTGGATATTGAAAAGCACGTAACTTCCTTATGCATTGCAGACCGAGTCCTGCTGTGCCAGAACAGTTTGCATTAGAGCAAGTTAACATCTATGTTCACGGCTCATTAGTTAAGCACCAGGACAATCATTAACAGGTTCCCTCTGCTTCTCTGCTTTCTGCTCAGAGCCCCTCCACCTTATTGCCTAGGGTCATCAGGACATCTAACTGGGACTGACAAAAGGCAGAGAAAACCATCACTAGATCTTTAGATTTATCAACTGTTAACTTGCTTATATTAACAAGGTACATATCCCAGGAATCATTAGAGGGAATACTTCAAATCCAAATGAAACTGTAGGGAGAATTTGGGTAAATAATAATGATGATGATAATAATAATTCTTCTACTGAAAACCTTGCTTAAAGGTATACAGCTGTGAAAAATCTTTCTGCTTATCCACCTATTCAGCTGAATGTGCCTATACCACTATGTACCTGCCCCTAAACCTAGCAAACAGTTTAGATTCTTCCAATAGAGTAATTATTTTAACCACACAGTATCTTGTGGCTTGTCCAGTATCAAAGGGGATCTGAAGGCAACAGTTAAACAACTACAAACGTCCCCCTAACACAAGTCTGGAATATCTGACTGCTGTAGCTCTACTCGGCGTGCAGAACACCGAAGAACACAAGAAGCAGAGGACATCCCACTTAACTAAGCCTCATGGACCAACTTAGCTGCCAGTGGCAAAGGTATCTCTGTAGAAAAGATGCGTTTCCAGTGACCAGCATCAGCTGCATGCCAGAGACACAGAAGCAGAAAAGGAGCCTTAAACTCAGAACACTTGCTGAACCATTTTTCAAACACAAGTGAAATCCAGCTTCTCACTCCTTCACAAATGTTCTGTTGCAACGTTCTGGACTTAGCCATCTTCCCCAGGAGGTGCACAGTGTATGTTTTGTGTGAAGGAAACTGCCGTTTCCAACTCCATCAGTGACCCCAAAGAACAAATGAGTTTGATTGCAGACGCAATATTTACTTTATTAACTGTATTTGAAAAGTATGAGTAAGTGAAGGATAAACGCTCTCCACAAGCTGGTTAAAGGTGCTTGAAGAAAGCTGGTATTTTCCCACCTTTCCACAAATCATAAAGCAATAGTTTCATGACCCAGTTTGCAATTAAGTACTCCGTAAGAACAAAGGCTCTATTGTACCACTGGCCCAGCAGGCTAGCAACATTTATAGCCTATGTTTGTTTTTACCAGGGAACCATTCTGATAACTTGAAGAAAGTTTCACATGACTTTAACAACCAGCAACAGGTCGAAAATAACCTGCTCTCTACACAACTTGTTTCACTGAGCTTTGCAGATAAACAGTGCATTCACAGGCATTTAGACAACAAAGTGGAAGTAGTCATCAGATGAGGTGGCATCACATGAAGTGTCCTCTAAAAACTAGGAAACTCAATAAACTACTTTCTCACTGTCTTTACAAGGAGAACACAAGAGAAAATGTAGGTTTAGGTAAAAATCCAGCTCTTATGAAGGTGTTGGTTTCATAGCATCCCTTATCCTCATCCAAAGAACTACCACCTTTGTATGAGGGTGTTTGTCAGCACATCAGTGCAAAGCTGTACTTCCACAGTAGAGAGGCCATTGCCTGTGATACACCCTCAGCCAGGGGAAGAACCACTTCTCACCCCATTCTCTGTCTGTACTGCAGGAAAGACCTGCACAGGGGAACTGAGCAAGCACACGCCTTTAGCTGACTTTTACAACCGCACGCTTCAGAGTCAGGGAGACAAATTCTCACAAGCTCCCATAGTCTGGTTTCACAACCCTGACTATAATACCGAAAGTAACACGTTACTTAAAACCAGAACCCTGGGGGAAGGAAAAAAACCAAAGTACAATTACAAGAAAACAGAGTCAGAAGAGAAAGCTGCAGCACAGCCTCTAGAAAGTCCCAAGGTGGCACAGAAAGCTTGAAGTAATTAAACCTATGCAAGTAGCAGGACTTAAATATTCAGCGATGACCTCTCTCTCGCTCTCTCTTGAATGCATTGCTGTCTTCAGACTCCACCAGTTTTTGCAAATGAAGCTGCAGTTAGCCAAGAATCACATCTTCTGTCACATCCATCTACCCAATGTGCAACTTCCATCTCTGTCAGGCTTGGAAACTATCCACAGGGACAGGCGGATGGGTGACTACTCATTCTATCTGTACTGATTTTGACCTCTTACTGGTATCTTACTGTGTTTGGCTTCCTTTGCAAACATCAGCCCGTTTAACTTGCAGTTCAGTGCATAGCGAAGCAAACAAAACCCATCCAACAAATAACAAACTTCTGGACCTCTATGATTTTTTGCAAGACAACTTTGCCAACTCATTGTGGAATATCTACTTTGTGGTGGCAAAAAAAGGAGCTCGGCGCTCCCAGACTGCGTTGTGGAGCGTCACAGAAGTACACGTAAAGGAAACACAGTCAAACTGTATCAGACTTGCACAGAAGAATGGATGATCCTTTTGGTCAACACCAAACAGTTGTAGCAAGGAGTAAGCACGAATAAAACCTGCAACAACACTAAAGACTGCATCAGCCTGATCAGAGTAACCTTTCAGCAGAAAGCATCTTAATAGGCACATTGCCAAAACCAAACTAGAAGTATAATGAGACCAGCTGTTCTTTTAAAATGAGTATGCAACAGTCTAGTATTGTAAGGTTTTTGCATCCTTGTGTTTTCAAAGAAGATGGATAAATCCATCTTGGTTTGCATTTAAAGAAGTCTTAAGAAAAGAGAAATCCTTGCATACACATACTTCTCTAAAATGTATTTGACAATAGGAAGCTTGACAAATGTTTATTCACAATTGTTCTTTGGTACTTAGAAAAATAAGCACAGACAATTTGGAAGCACAGCATCCAGTAAATATGATGGTATAAGGGTGGTATGCAAGATTACCATCACACAAATAAAGCCTGCATAATGATGCCAAAGAAAACAACACAAATTATTCCCTCCCACCACTAAACAGAAAAGATTTCACCTAATCAGAGAAACATGTCAGAATGGACCTCAAGAGGTCACCAAGTCTATCCCATTCTGGAAAACTGGGTTAAATGTACTTAAGAGGATTTAATCTGCCCTTAAAAATTAACTAGTGAAAGATTTTACAGACATCCTAGATAACCT